CTAGCATGCGTATGGTAGCTGATAAGAATTATACAGGACTACCAAAAATATTAACATAATTAAAAAAAGTATCTCATAAAATGCATTGTAAGAAATTTGAAACACAGTTGGCATAAATTTTGAAGGAGTTTGTGTATTAGTTTTTTCATGAAATAAAATCTTTTACAATCATTTGTTAACTGAAGAAAAAAAAAATTGTACGTGGTAATAAAAACAGTTCCTTAAAACACTAGCAGCTGTGCACTTATTTTTAGAATAAAATAAAATAATAATAATAAAAAAAACTGGCATGACTAAAAATTTAGTCTCTATTAACCAATTTTTGATTATTTGAGGTAATTATGGTTCCTAATGATGGAAATAATCGAGGTTCTACCGCATAATTTATTCGTATTTGTGTATTCAAAAGTACTGCAAATAAGTTCTTAATTTGTTAATTGGGTTATAGGCATGTTATTTACTTTAAAGAGTTTTCAGCACTTTTCTATACATTTCTTAAATTATTATTTTTAATGTACTATGCTGATTTAAACTGTGCTACTTGAATATAAACTGCTTAAATACGAAATTCTTGAAGTTAATAATGACTGAGTTGCCTGCTGGCAAACTTGCATGAGTATGGCTATCAACACATAACAATCAGCAGGTGAATTTGTTATTAATAATGCAATCTACGGCTAAAAGATGAGTACAGAAAGAGAAGACTAACACTAGATGAAAGAACTGCACTTCTATACAACTGACTCTGAAAAAACACTTAAAATTACTTGGAAAAACTGAGAAATAACAAGCATATAGTTCAGTTACGGTTTCTAGGTGAACTGTGAATTGTATTGGAAGAAGTTCGTTTAGGATGCCATACGATAACTGATATAACTGCTTTGCTCATGGCTTTTCCCCTCATGAGAAATGAAGGAAGCATCTGCTAAGGGCCCGCAAGAATGGCAGATGATTAATGGTATACAATGATTTGCAGTGACAAAATAACGATTGCTTTAACACCAAACGTGGAAACAGCATTATATTGCCAAAACAAAACAAAAAATTTAAATCCTATTGCATTTTTAATAACATAATGCCTCTACTGTCAAAATGACGTAGCATTACACCTCAGCTTACGTATTAACTATAGTGCATTTTATTGAAGGTAAATGAATCTTCCTGATGTATTAAGGCTACACAGAAAAAATACTTTCATCACTTCTCAAAATGTTTGCAAATGGCAAATTGGACTTTCAGAATATCAAAGTGTATGCTATCTTGTTGAAGGTTAAAATCAATGCTGACCAACATATTGCAGAAATATTTCCTTCCATATATTGACAAGTTTAGATACTCTGATTTCACCTTTTAGGATGAAAATGAAAATCTACCATTTGCATTAGTAAATAGATGGTTATATTTTAAACTTGTCATAAGATTACAGTCACTGAATCTTAACCTTCCGAGCATTATGACTGGCTTTATCCGGTTATCAGAAGTTTTGCTACTTGGCATATATTAGCTTATAGTTTAAGATATTTTGCTTTCCTACTTTCTTTAAACTGCAAGCACACACACCGATCTGACGAAAACGAGAACACGCGCCGGGTTGTTCATACCAGAATAAAAAAAATTTTAATTAAAAATTTGACGAACAAAATTAATCATTTAAAAAAAAAATTAAAATGCAAAACTAAGTTAATACTTCATTTTAGACAAAATATGAAACAATAAGGAGAGGAAAAATTATTTACCTACAATTTTTTGTATATTGTTTACGAAATGAGGTCATAAGTTCCATACATATACTTTTGCTACAATTTTCACAAATGAATCTAGTATTTGTCTTTTTTCTTGGGGCACTCTGTACATCTCTTGTAAGTCATTTTAGGTTTTTTTGGGTGGTCCATTGTCAATATGTTCATCGGTGATCAGTGTTTGTCCAGAATCAGGAACTAAAGATGCTAGTCGTCGTTCATTATGAACATTTTCTATTAGCTGCATCCCTAAGGCTTTGAGAAAAATATGCCTGGCATGGTATTCTGTTGGTGGTTCCTTCTTGGATAGTAAGGCACGTTTAACACTGAAAAGAAAATTATTATAGGCCATCAACGTGCTACTCTTGAATACGCAGCTGCCATCTCATCTACATCGACTTCTCCTTTTGTCATGTTATGGAATCTAATAATTTCCGGCTTTTTAGATTCCCCAGTAGATTCATCGATTTGATCGCCAGAATGCATTGTGGATAACAAGATCACACTGTTTTTTTTTTTTTTTTTTGGCACATAAGATACAAGTGTTGCTTCTTTCTGAAAACCGAAAATTGAAGAATATACTTCTCTTTTCTTTGCCAGAAACTCAGGTGGGATTTAGGGAGATCTTGAGATAATTCATATACCATATACCAATTATCAACTGTTAAATTTTGACCAGAATTGTATAAGGGGCCTATTAAATGCTTGCACCATTTTCAACTTGAAATGGCCCGTCTGGTTGTTTACCAGCATAAATTTCCATATTCCAGGTATAAAACACCCTTGCATCTACAATAGCAAATATTTTTATGCCATATTTTGCTGGTTTGTTGGGCATATATTGTTTGAGGGAACAACAACCTCTGAATGGGTCCAACTTCTCATCAGTGGTCACATACTCTCCTACAGTATAAGCTTTTTCGCAATTTATGACAAAATTTTCAAAAAATTCTTTAAGAGGAGCTAATTTATCCATATCTCTTCTACTGGGACGATCTCCAATGTCATCAAAATGGAGACATCATAAAAGAAAGAGGAACTGGTTTACTGATATTGTTTCCCGAAATATGTGCATTCCTGTTCCGTCTGCTGCCCACAAATATCTTATGTTCACATGGGATGATTTATAAACACCACATAAATACAGCAATCCAATTAAAGCTTTGATTTCCAACACATTGTTGCTTTTGCATCCGTTCACGAGTGAAATTTTCTCGTATTGACTCAATATAAATATTTGTATTGTCAACTACATGTTTTAACATATCTTCATCGATAAGCAATGACCAGGAATCTAAAGGTGTTGAGACGTCTTTAGAATATTTTGTATTTCCAGGGAGTTTAGTTATAATATTTTTGGTGCACAATTCTAACATTAGTCCGGAATTTATTTTTGTTTCCATTTTTACTCCATTTTTTCCAACATAAAACTCATTGCTACATTCCAGAGTTTCATTTTCTGTTTCTGTATCTGAATCGCTACTATCTCGGTATGGATGAATCATGATTACTATTATATTCTTCATCATCAACATCTTTCTCTCACTAAATTTTTACCTCATCAGAAGAAAGTGTTTCAAAGAGATTTCTTCAATCTTTTCATCTCTTCATCGTAAGTAATATACAGGCGCCATGCTTACAACTCAAGAAAAACCTATATTAAAAGCTTGAAAATGAGAAGTGCGAAGTGACTCACTGAGAAATGCGAGTACACGCATGGGTATGACATGCCTGAACAATGCTGTTCCTAAAAAACTGTTGCACCTGCCACCTCAGGAATTTTCCCCATTTAAGTATGTGACCTTAAACTCAGCTACACCAAGTTTCGTCCTTTTATGAAAGAATGGGAGAGAAATATACAAAAAGAAAAATGCACATGGGTATAATGTGCTCGCAGGTTAATAATGTCAATATCATTTTAAGGAATGCAAGTTTATGAAAATACGGACTTAAATAAGTAATTATACAAATTCAATTAAAAAAATACTGTTTAAATACCGGTCTTCATCACGGATCTAAAATCCTGTGTTGCTCAGAGGGTTACATAAATTGAAAACTTTTAGATGAAACCAAAATGAGAGCAAAAAATACAAATAATGTACAGTTAACTGGAAGGTAACCAAAAAAATTCTTGCAGTTTCTAATATGACATTGGAAGAGTGAACAACAACATAAAAAGAGTCGCCCAAAACCCCTGGCGATGAAGCACTTAGGATTTGAGTTCAGACATTGATCAAGAGTATAAAACTGCGCAGCATCGTTACTTCAAAGGCACTTGTTCAGAGTTCTTTGCTTTATGATTTTAAAGTGAGCCTGTCAGCAACAGGATCAAGTTGCCCAATTTGTCAGGCCTTTGGGAATGATGCTGTTAACAAACGAAACATTAGGCAATGGTTCCAGAAGTTCAGGTCAGGGGATATGTCTCTTAATGATGCACCACACAGCGGTTGGCCACAAGCGCTGGACGATAAGGCCCTGAGAGCAGCAATAGAGAGTGACAGTAGCCAAACATATGGTGAGCTAGCTGGACACTTCCAGGTATCTGATGAAATGATCAGACTTCGTTTACACTACACAGGAAAGGCATACAAGCTGAACAAGTGGGTATCTCCCCCAGTCACTATCCGATGCAAACAAACAACAGCGTGTTGCTGCCTGTTTGCAATTGCTTACACGGCACAGCAATACATCCATATTTAATAGAGTACTCATTAGCGATGAAAAATGAGTCCAGTATGACACACCCAGACATTGGTTGTCACCGCGGGACCCTCTGCCTTACACTATGAGACCTTCTCTCCATCCACACTAGATCATGCTCTGTATCGGATGGACTAGCTGCCAAGTAGTGCACTATGAGCTCCTGCCAGTGGGCCAAACCATCATGGTGTGCTCGCAGCAGTTGGAACATGTTCATCAGGTACTGATGCACAAAGAATTTATGCCCACACATGGACATTAATAAATACATACAAATTTTTCTCTGTAATTTGCTTTCAGTTTCCCTACTAAGCCTTTTCCCTGATTTCTGTTTTCTGATTTTTTTTAAAGTGTTATGTATAAAAAATTTCAGTTCAATAAGTATGCTCCTGATCAGCCTGACACATTTAACAGCAAAAAAGATTTGATCTGCAAGGGGGGGAGTTAAGAGTTCATATATAATTGATTATCAAAGTTAAAATAATTTCAAATCCTGTAAAGAAAATAAATATAATGCACAATTAATGTTTTACCTACACATAAATAACACTCCCATAATAATGATTTTCATTTGAAGTTTATTTATGTACATGTAACAAAGCATTAGTAACAAACTTATATAAATTTAAAGAAATAAAAATTCATTAATGCAAAAAACTATGCTTTAAATTACATTATTCAGTGTACTTATGTATATTTATTTACATTACAGAGTTTTATAGTCTAGTAGCTCTGAAAAGAAATATAAAGAATATTATATACAAACTGAAGTTTCCAAATATATCTTTGGTAGTTAAAAAACAATGCCATTCATCATCCATGGCTCTCCATTCTTAAAATTTACCGACAGGCAATGAGGTCAAAATGTAACAAGTTTTCTCATAAATATGCAGGACCAAACATATGGCACATATAGTCTGGATTCGTTTTTGACTTGACTTCAAATGACAGCTACATGAAAAATCATTTCAAAACAAGTCAAATATGCAAATATGGCATTTTGGCAATATAAATGCACTTATTCACAATGATACAATACATAATAATTTAAAATCTTCAGATGAGTAATGTTGAAATATTAATACAAGATATAAGCGTTTTTTTTTTTTTTTTTTTTTTTAGACAACACTGTTTGTAAATAACCAAGCTGAATACAGCTATAACTTAGGAGAATTAGTTTCTCTTAGATATTTCTAAGATGTAGAATGAGTTCTGAAGGCAGGTCGGATAGTTGTATAAAATTTATAATCACACATTTTCAATCCTATATACAGCATGATATGCATTCCTTAAAAGAGCATATGGGAAACATGATTCTAATAAATCCATTGTAAGGAACGGTGACTCCTGAACTATCAAATCAAGCAAAAGGTAAACTGATTCTCTGTTCCTAGTTGCTTCTTTATCATTTTCTTGCCCTAATCTGAGTAAGCTGGATGATGCAAGCTACAAAAGTAAAATAAGTCAGTCTTTAAAATACACTGCTGTAATTATCAAAACATACATAACTATACTCAATTTTCAAACAAACATAAGCATGTACATGTATGACTTACAGCTAAAAATTCTTTTAGTCTATCTTCAATATCCCCATGACCACATATGGTAAACAGAGCTCCAGCAATCCCATTGATAGCTTGTGCAAGGCAATGAATATTATTGCTATGACCTGAAAAAGTATTTAAATAGTTGTCAAAAACACACTTTGCGGCAATGAAGTAAACCCAAATGTTCCACCATTCTGGCAAAAATAATTTAAATAAAGCATTTTTTTAAAACTGATTATATATAATACAAATAAACTGATGAGAAATAATGATAAAAGAATTCAATATAAATTTTAAATATCATAGGCTTCTCAATGAACAGGCCTTGCCTAAAAAGGTAAGTTTATTTATTGAAATGAAGGAAAATTACTATCAGCAAAAAACAAAACTGTTTATAAAAAATACCAAAAAGAAAAGACGAATGCATGAACAGCAATGATGACAGATGACGATGTGATATTTGGGAATAACTTTTATCCATGACTATTCAGAGGTGGGAACATATAAATAATAAAATTATCAATAGAAAAATAAACCAAGTACCTTGAAATACAAGATTAATGGCTTCACTTTCTTACTATGAAATCCTTCTCAATTACTTCTGCTGAGCGACAGGATGAAGATTCACAACATAAGATCATTGATTGATTTCAGGTGGCATGTAGTTTGGTATTTCATAAATACTTTAATTTTATTTACTTAATGTTTTTTGGTCACTAACAATTATCATTAGTTTTACTTCTTGTAAACGGCAACAGAGCAACTGTTTTTGCTAAGTCTAAAGAGAATTAGCAAAACATTTAGGTTATGGAACTAAGTTTATGCTCCACATTAAACTGAATGAAAGTACTGTTAAAATTTTAACCCTCCAACCATCCTATGGTTTGGCTTCATAAAGCCCATATTTCCCAAAAATGAAAAAAACACAAAAAAGTATTTTCTTGATCATAATTCCAACATGTTCCTACTAATTTACACTTAAGACATTTTTTTTTCAAGTTATAAACATCCTTAATTATACACACACATTTTAGAATTTATGTACACATAGCTGTTGGTAGCACTCCAAGTACTCCTCCAGTTAAATGGGAGTCTGTACAAGGTGATTATAATTCTAGTTCCTCATTGAAATGGTCATAAAAGGAAAAATACTGGACCAAATGTTGTCAAACTTGGTAATCATGTAAAGGAAGTCATGGGAATTTATTTTCCGCAGGAGAAAGAAATTTAAACTCACCACCAGCAGGGAAATGGTGCTGTATGCAATACTGTTAAACGAAACAAAGCATGTTCAATGTGGTGTCCATTATTTTTCGAAAGCATGTTAAATCATATTACTGCATTCTCAACAGCAGCTCTAAGCATATGAGGACGAATGTTACGGACATGTTGGTGTATTGCATCTCAATTCCGCCAAATAGTTTAGATCAGCGGCCTTCAACCCTTAGAACTTCACGGACCACTGCATATGTAATTTTATACACTCATGTCCATAAATTAAGGATAATACAAAATCAGGCAAAGGAAGAGTTAGAAGCAAAACAAATTTGACTTATTTGTAAAGCTTATTTATTAAACAAAAGGTAAAGAGCAAAAAAATATGCTATGTTTGATATTATTAAAAAGTTAGCGATTTTTTCTCCCTCGAGCAAACTAAAAAAAAAAAAAAAAAAAATATTTACAAAAAACCAATATTACATAGTTGGTATGATTGTTAATACATTGTATGTCTCCCAGACGATGCAATACAGTCCATACAAGGCCTAGGCATGAATGTTTTGATGTCCATCAAACAAAAAGTGGAATTGCCGCAAAAAAGGGATAAAGGCAGGAAGAAAGTGACAGAGAGGTTAGTGAAAACGAAAAAATTTCGATTGACAAGTTAGTCGGCATTTTCGGCACAGCAATTACAGGACTTGAACAGCGGAACTTTGTAACAGAACTGTTAGCATAAATTTAGGTATTTTGCATAATGAAACTCGAAAGGCATACGAAACGAACGTGCACCAAGGTATATATTGGCGAGAGAAAGTAAAGCTCGTGTGAATGCAGTATATTTGATTTTCACCCTAGCTACTTGTACCTGGCCAAAAGTCTAATCCAGTAGTACTTTCTTCTCTTTCAGGTACGATGGCGAAGTATGTTCCTGTCTATTTTTCTTATTGGCCTATAATAGGTAAGCCTGATGATATTTAGTACTTGATGATGAATTCTATGTAAGTTATCTTCTTTTCAATACTTCAGTGTTTTAATGTCCTTGAAGATTATTACTTTATTGTTATGCTTAAGTTAAGCAAAATTATCCTATTTTATTAAATAAAGATTTCGTAGTTAATCTTTTTGGCTTATGATTCTTTAATTCTGTGTGTTGAGGAAACGTACCTCGGTGATTTGTGCCTTCAGAGGGCTAATGCACAACGCAACAAAAGATTATGAGACTGAGAAATTGAAATTTGTAATGTTGTAAGATTCCAGGGGCATAAAGTGTTAACACTCTTTGTTGGAAAAAAAAAAAAAAAAAAAAAAAAAAACTAGTTACAAAGTTATAAGAATAATTGTAACAGTAATAATGTCTATTCTAAAAGAATCAATTTGTATAGAAAAGTTAACAGATGAAAATTAATTGCAGTGTGGAAATTTAAAATAAAACAACTTCTAGAATAAAAGAAGGTTTAGATGATGATGTATTCGAAGAAAAACCGGAAACTGATTGCTGATAATTTCGTTAAAGAATGATCGTAAAGCTAAAGCTTTAAATATGTCCTAAACATTTCGGATTCGCAAATTATCCATGTTTTGTACATAGTAAATCTGCAAAAAGAAGTTTGGCAGAAGTTAAAATGTGTCCATGAACTTGTAAATTTAACAAAACAAGTTATTTCTTCTTAGAAAACTATATTCCATTAGATATAATGAAAGTTCTAAATGCAGGAACATATCAAAGGAGTACTAGAGTTGGCTGAAAAGCTGCGTAGTATAGGTGAAGAAATTAAAGAAAATAACTTAATAGCAATACTACTATGTTCTTTACCAAATTCATACAACTCCTTAATAACTGCAATAGAAAGTATTTCGGAAGCTGAATTGTCGCTAGAATATGTTAAAAACAAACTAATAGATGAGTATTGTAGACGTGTGGAAACTAAGAAAGTTCAAAAATACTATTCAGTTGCTTTAAAAAGTAAAAGCGAAAATAAACCAAAGTATGTTACACAATTTTGTACTTATTGTAAGAGAAATAACCATATGATAAATGACTGTTTTCATTTAAAACGCAATGCTAGAACTTCCCCAAAAACAGATGTAAATAATAGTAAAGTAAGAAATTATTCTCAAAATTATAAAAGTAATGCATGCCAAATAGCAAATATGCAAAGTGTAGAAAACATAACAAAACTTAAAGAAAATAAGTATTTTAAAAGTATTGAAACTGAAAATACACAGATTCAGTTTAATCAAGTTCTAAAAGTGGAAAATAAACATGAAAACACGCAAACGCAAGAATGGGTTATTGACTCGGGAGCCTCAACTCATGTGACGAGTGATAAGAATTTTTTCTCTCAGTTAAATGACTTTAATAAACAAATAGTAACTGTAGCCAATGGTGCAAAATTAAATTCTTATGGTATTGGTGAAGGCTATTTTAAAGTTCAAAACTTAAAGGGTCAGGTTACACAAATAAAATTGGAAAAGTATTGTATGTACCAGGTTAGATAGTAATTTACTTTCTGTTCAATCAGTTACCAATAAAGGTTGCATTGTTACATTTCATAGTAATTAAGTGTTACATAAAGCGTAACAATATACTCGTAGCCGACGGGAACGCTCAGCAAGGTTTATATATTAATTGACCGTAAACTCAATTGACGAGAAAGCATACTTAGCTAATGATGGTTTCACGTTCTAATACGAACTGTACACTAAAATGGCATCAAAGATTAGGTCCACAGAAATATAGATGCCATAACACTCTGAGAAAAATGATTTGGCAGACGGCATTAAACTTGGCAAATGACTCATAGTGTGGAAAGTTCTACTCGTGTAAAAGCGAAACTAAATGAAAAATCTTACCCCAAAACTGGATTTAGATTTAAAAATCCACTGAATTTAGTGCACACGGATCTGTGTGGGCCAATTGAAGTCAACAGCTTAGGAGGGAAAAGATATTTGGTAGCTTCCATTGATGACTATTCGCGTTATACTCAAATTTATTTTATTACTTCAAAAGATGAAGTATTCGACAAACTTAAACAGTATGTTGCATCGACAACAAAAAAATTTAGAAAGAAAATAAAGGTTCTCAGATCCGACAACGGTACAGAATACTGTAACGAAAGTACTGAAAATTATTTAAAGAAAACTCGGCATTTTTCACAAAATTCGGTTCCTTATTGTCCGGCACAGAACGGCGTCGCAGAAAGGGAAAATCGCTCTTTTTAGTAGAAATGACAAAAGCTATGCTAATAAACTCTAAATTACCGAAAGGATTCTGGGCTGAAGCAGCAGCTACTGCTGCATATCTTCAAAATAGGTTACCAACTAAAGCCAAGATAGAACACCATATGAATTGTGGAATGGTAGAAAACCACACTTAAGTCACTTACGAGTATTGGCTGTACAGCATTTTATTATGTGAACAACAAAAACGGTGGTAAATTCGACAACAGAGCTGAAGAAGGGAATATTCGTAGGATACGATTTACGAAAGTAAGGGATACAGGATTTATGTAGGTGGAAGGAAAATAATAGTAAGTAGAACTGTTAAATTTTCAGAAAACGCGTCTTTACCTGACAAACTTGCAGAAAATAATGCTGAAGATTTAGAATTAATTCACTTCAATAACTCGCAGAAGATGAAGAAAATAATGAAGAAACATCTCTTGGCGATGATTTACAGAAGATTCAAAAGTTCCGAAGAGTTAATTAAATGTGAAGAAATGTAGAAAGAAGGGTTTCTGGCAGATCAACCAAAGGGGTCCACCGGAAAGATTCTCGTATAAAGCAGAAGACGAAGAATAAATCTACTTAAAATTAAAGATCCAGAAAGCTTTGAAGAAATTCTAAACTACCAAAACGTGAACAAGAAGCTTGGATCAAGGCTATGCAAGAAGAAATACATTCT